ATTCTCCAACAAATTTGCTACAGATGACTTAATGTACGATTATAACTAAAGGTCGTGAATCAAAAATCACTAGGGATACGATGATGGTTAAGAAGGTAAGCAATCAAAAATTGCGCAATACTAAGAATATATAGGGTCTGTAGTTTGATTTACAGACAAAATTTTCATCGAGATAGGCTGCAGAATCATTCCAAGTGGAGATATACTGTTGAAAATTTACGATTTTAAAAATGCAATTTCTCTATTAGCAACTAACTCTTCCGAGCCAACTATCAGATCTTGCTATGGGGCTTTAGACTTCAATTCTGAAACGAATGAATAGCGCACCATTCTCGAAGTCTGGTCTTCAATGCTCATCCTTGGTCATGGAAGAACAAGCTTTTTTCTGTATACATCCTTATACAAGCAAAGCTTTATAGGAACTTTCAGAGAACCATCAAAGATTGACAAACTATTCATTCGCAAGTTGTTTACTCCAATAACTGATCTATGCTTTTCCATATTTTTTTCTCCAACTGGTATTTGCCATGTCAAGTCACTCTGTTTCGCGCTTTCATTTACAATACCCCAATTTTATGGAAATTCATCTGTTGTATGGGTGGCGAAAAAATACATGTGCGTGATATTCTTCGTTTTAATTATTGTATAGAGCATTTATGCATACGCTTTTTGAATATTTGTTTGTTGCTTATAACTGGTTTGTAGGAAATAAATTTGTTTTCCAAACTATAGTGAAGACCTGCTCAAGTCGTGACATGATTGGATAGCAGAGAGTGAACTCAGCAATTTCTTCAAGGCTCGGAGTTCCTCTAAGAACGTCCAGAAGATTGTAAAGCAATGAAAAGAAAAAGGACATGTTCAAGCGAAACCCAGAAGTGGACGAAAGAGACTGTCAACACCCGACAGATGCGTGGGATTATCAAGAAGAGGATTGACCGAAAAGATGATCTGAGCTTGAAGAAGATGGCCAAACAGCTTAATATTTCCCGCAAATCTATTCAAATGATAGTAAAAAATGAGCTCGGACTTCGAAGTTATCGTCTGTTGAACGGACAAGTTTTTGCCGATCAAGCAAAGCAAAATCGGAAGGAAAAATGCAAGAAATTACGAGAATTTTTCAAGGTGCGGCGAATTTAGGACGTCTTCTGGTCTGACGAACAAGTTTTCATCGTTGAGGTTGCTAAAAGCTGCCAGAATTACCGCCAACTTCTCAGCCCAGCTCTCAAGAACAATTGCAAGTGAAAGATTGCCACAAGAAGTCTGTTTCCTAAAAGCTCAATGTTTTCGTGCGGGATCAGTGCCTCGGGCAAGAATTCCTTGATTTTTATCGATAAATAAGTGAAAACTAATGCAAAAGTCTACCAAGAAAAGATCCTCAAGGAAGCTATGGTGCCCTGGAAGCAAAAACATCCCAATTTTATCTTTCAACAAGACTGTGTTCCAGCCTATGGAGCCAAAACAACAATCCACTTTCTGGAAACACACTTTTTGACTAAGGATTTGTGGCCCGTGAACAGCCCGGATCTGAATCCATTGGATTTTTCTGTCTGAGGATTTATGAAAGAGCAACTTAGGAGTCGAAATGTAAAAAATCTGGTAACTTTGCGAAGAGAATTGATCAAGGGAACAATCTAGACCTAAACTACCTGCGCCGCACCATCGATCTGAAGAAACAAATTAACGCCTGTGTCAAAGCTGATGGCGGCCCCTTCGAAAATTCTTTGTTAAAAAGTTGTGGCTTACTGTTATATGAAACAAATTTCTTTGAATGTTTGTTGACAAAGAATAAAATTTGAACGACGCACGTAATTTTTCGCCTCCTTAGAAAAGGAAGAACTATTTACTTCGAGGTGATCTTGTTTGCTTACTTTTTTAAAGAACTTTCACCTGTTTCCTGTGTCAATTAATGTAGTAAGTAGGAGGGCTCAGGGAATACATTAAACAA